GTTGCTTTCCTTCATATACGATCTGTGTTGTTTTGTGTTTGAAAATGATTAAAAAACAAGTTTCTTGTAGCTGAACTGTTCTCAGCCACACAATTCTGTTGGTAACAGTGCAGCTAGTAATTGTGTATACTAATTTTAAGAGGCAATTAACAATTTGTTTACTAAGTGACTAACAATTACTGCTAGAGAAGAATTGATTTGTCGTTGCCTTCTTTGAGATGTTTCCTAAACAAAAAGGACAGGGAAAAATATCAAGGATATATGTACATATATGCATATGCATATGTATGTGTAGATGTATGTAAAAATTCAAAGAAAAATTGCATGTTTGCTGTTAGGATTGTTGTATGCCAGGTAAACANCAGTCAAGTTGACTAGAAGTGTGACAGTGCTAAGATTTAATGCACTGAATTAAATATGGTAGAGAACATGAAAAAGTATGGTGTGTACAGAGCTTTATTTGTTCTTTGCATATTTAATATGAGGACCTGAGGCAAGTTTCCCCAAGTTTAAGCCTTATAGATTAGTTGAGAATACAACTCTGCAACCCCCAGGTAGCAAAGTTTTTTTTTTCTGTGCTAGCTAAATACTATACTTCAGAAGTGGATGAACCCAGGATCTCTTTTAGAGTTTTAAAGAATGAAATGAAACAAATATCAACAAAACTTAAAGTTCCCAGGTTACTGCTTAAATTTCCAAACACGAAAATGAAAGCACTCAATTTTTAGATCCCATCCATTCTGGGCTGCAAAAAAAAAGCTCCAGGGCTGCAAAAAAAAAAAAAAAAAAAGATTTCATTCATTCATCATATTTCTACATTGCCCATCTTATCTAAGTAACTCTGGGTGATTTACAATAAAAGTGATATCACAGTATAAAAACCATAAATGAGAACAAAGTTAAGAACAGAATTTAAAAGGCTGGGATTAAAATATTAAAAGTTAAAAATTTAAAAAGGTGGAGAGAACATCCTCTCCACCAACCACTCCCAAGGTTGCATATAACCCACATGCCAATTGACAGAGCCAAGTTTTAACACACTTTCTGAAGGCCAGAAGAATGGCAGCCTGCTTCACCTCTGGGGCTAAAGCAGGGGTCCCCAACCTGTGGGCCGCAGCCCATTACTGGACCGTGGCCTACTGGCCACCGGGCTGCATCTGGCTGGCTAGTGCGTGCACACATGTGTGCGCACTCACCCCCACTCATGCTAGCACTGCTGCTACATAAACAGGATGCCGCATGGTGAAAACGGGGCACCATGCAACAAAAACAGGATGACACTGGCGAGTATCATGTGAGCACTAGCACCACCTCATTTGCATCATGCATGCTCATGGCACTGTAGAGCACATTGCAGTTTTCATACAAGAAATAACCAGAGTATGAGTGACTGAAAGAAGGGCTTCTTCATCCAGGAAAGGGTGTAACTGGTGTACAAGATGAAGTTATACAAAGACTCTCCTAGCTACAAGTGACACCTGATCTTTGAATAGGTGACATGAGTCCAGAACGACTCCAAGATTATATACAGGGTATGTCTGGGGCATCCAGGACCAAAGATGGTAAACCCATGGATATAATCCATAGCCACTCCATCGCACCAAGATTGAATTGAAGCTATTGTTCCCCATCAAGACCCAGACAGCCACTAAGCACCATGAAAGGGAATCTATGGGATCACTTAACGTGCCCAAGGTGAAATATATCCGTGTGTCTTGCCGGCACTATTATTCTTTATCGCATGTGTGTGTGTGTTTAGCTTTATGAATGTTGCTCAGAGTTAGTGTTGTGAGATGGGCAGCCATATAAATCTGTGTAAACCAACCAACCAACCAATCTACCTACCTAGTAATGTAGTTCAAAACATTGTCTTGATCTATACTACTGTACACACATTTAAAGATAGTTTTTGCTTGTATTTTTTAATCTGATGCCTTGGTTGCATGCATTTTCAATAATATAGATATGGGTATTAAAAATGAAATCAGGAATGCTTGGAATATAACTTTCATTGTTTTGTTTCTGGACTTGCTCTGAGATATTTCCAAAATATTTCTCCTATAGTGTGTTTATTTTTCTTAAAATAATAATGTTGAAATGTGTCTAATTCGGTTATTCCCATTACATTTAAATGAGTTTCCCAAGCTATGATATTTGAACAGGTTCTTTTAATTGCTGATACTAAGTGTCAATCATTCGGCTGCAAGATGAGAAAGCGTCTTGAAATAGATGTTTCTGTTTCCTGTGCATCAGTCATTTAATCAACAAATAAAACTTTACTGGTACATCAACAGCCCTTCTTGTTATAAAATATTGAAACAAGAAAGAGAATCCTTCAAAGCAGAACATACATTTTGTCTGTTCACAATTACGAAAATGATCATTCCATTGTATACATAATACCCTTATTTCTAAAGCATTGTAAAAGAAATTCATCTAAAGTTTTATTTATTTTATTATTGTATGGAATGTTTTGGAATTTTTAAGGTACAATTTTAAGTACACTGCATAAAGAGTTTCTAAACCTGACTGCATTCAAAGAAAGTTCTTCCTCAAGGGTTTAAATAGTAATTCATAAAATGGAAAGAATAATAAATATTATGCCTTAACTCATACATGAGCATAGACAGACAGGTTTTGTGCACCTGGGTATAATTTTAGTTAATTCACACAAGAGACAGGTTGAAAGTTTATTGTTTAGATAGGAGAAAATGGCTTAAATCTCATATTTGCAAAAATGATTGCATTACCTTAAATGAAAATGGTATTATATTAGTTACTTCAATAAGCATTTCGTTTAGAAAAATATTTTAATAAAAAACTTATCTGAACTTCCTTACAACTTAAAATACATAAGTGAGGGAAAGTACTTTCTTTGGGAAGAATAATTACTGGCTTTTTAGTCACCTATGTAAAATAATGTATTTTTGTAAATGGATTTCTGGCCACTTTAATCCATTTTTTCCATTTCTTTTTTTTAAAAAAAGAATACATAAAAAGTAAGCACAGTCAATCAAAGAATTTTAAGGTTTATTTCCTCTTTAGAAATGATTGATAGCCATTTAGATTTACAAGCTGACAAGTTAAAGGGTGCTATTGGTATAATTATATACTATATTCACAGTCTTTCAATTTAAATGTCCTTTTAAAATCATGAGATTATCATATCTGTATTTTGAAAAGTAGGCCAGTCAGTTTGGGTTGGTGCACAAATTGCTTCCATTAGCCCTGGGACCTATTTGAATTTAATACCTTCTTTAAAACCAGCAGTACTTTCAATGTACTTTTGAAACTTAGAGTAATGGGAAAGCATTTTTATAGTATGCGTTAACTTTGTTTTTAATGTATGGATGAATGTTACAAATACAAATAAAAGTGTTACTCAATCTAAAATATTTTTTTTAAAAAATCGTTAATCTTTTTATCTATGGAAAAACATTTATAGTAGGACCTGTGAGAATGAAGGAACATATTTTACGCTTGGTGGTTTGCTTCTCTTATTAAAAACAAGAAAAACTTCCAAGAATCCATTTATTCAGCTGTATGAAGTAACAAGTTAATCCAAAATTTCACTATTGCAATGAGAACTTCATTTTATTTATTTGAACAATAGGAAGGTGTTGCTTCCTATTTCAATAAATTTCGATATCCCACTGAAATTTAAAATATTGTGACACCTGATATTAAAATGTTAAATAATAAACTCTGACTCAGACTGGAGTTTATTGGATAGAGGACAGTGACTAAATACCAATAGTAATGTCACTTAGATTTGTGTACTACTCCATGGTGTTTTATAGTACTCTCTGAACAGTTTTTAGTGTCAGCATATTACCCCCAACAATCAGGTCCTCGTTTTACTGACCTCAGAAGGATGGAAGGCTGAATCAACCTCGAATCGGTCATGATCAACTGCAAGACTGTGGTCAGAGTTAGCCTGCAATACTGCATTCTAATCACTGCACCATCAGTGGTACAGTCTGTGAATCCTATTGTTGGAAACTGTCTGCTCTTCCTTGCTTATCACAGTGGTAACCCTGTAGAATAATTAAAAATCATTGTCTTGAAATAACATAAGCAACCATGGAAATAGATAAAAGTTTATGAAATAAAATATGTTATAATAGAAAATGTCTAATTGGAAGAATACACTATATCCAAACTGTTGAATATACTGCATACAATGCCATTATTTAACTTTATTTATCTATACATAAACATATTTTAATCATCTCCAAAGGCAAACCCTTTCCCTAAAAAGAGGCAGAAACTTTTACTTTGCCATGTTATAAATATACTTTTCTTCTATGTCCATGGATTCTTAAAAGTTCATTTTGTTTTTAGAATGTTTGTGTTCTCACTGTGTTGGCATCTTTTGATACTGCTAAATGGATGTTACAGATTTGGTAAAGGTGCTTGCAGTTTTTTTTTCTGAAAAGAGAATTTATCATAAATGTTTATGTTTAATAAGTAAAACAGAACTGACCAAATTTTCCATGATTTCAGGTCACTCTTTGTGAAGTGTAATATTAACAGTACTTATTACTTATCAAATAGAAGGTTATCATCATTTTACACATATGTTCAAGTTTAGAAGCTGACATATGAGCAATTAGTTACATGCAGTTTTTAACTCTTCTTCTGATTCTTCATATGTGTCACTTGTGATTTTGTTGCTTTAAGTAGTATTGGCATCTGCAAAAACCCTTTCTTCATTTTCCATCTCAAAAGTACATCATTAATATCATAAGGAAAATATACATGGAGATATATATATATTCATATATGTCATAAAAGTGAAACGTGATGGGCCTTTTGTCTTGTTTCATTTCCATAACCTTTCCAATAAGATAACATTGGAAAAGTTGAAAACAAGTAGTAGACTAAAAAACTTTTAGGGAATGAATTTGTTCGGATCCTCCAGAATTGTGATAGCTTCTAGAACTCAAGAATTTTCAGTGGAATACTCAGTTGCTTAATTACTATTTTTCTTGTTCCAGCTTTGAATGAACCAACCATTGACTATGGCTTCCAAAGGTTACAGAAAGTCATCCCAAGGCATCCTGGTGACCCTGAGCGTTTGCCAAAGGTCAGCAAAATGTAGTGTATGAGTGTGCATACATATGTATCTGTGTTTATGATTAAGTCTGTAATGCATCATGTGTTTTTCAAATAACACTTCAGCACAATATGCAGTCAACATTTACATTTAGAATACTACAGCCACATGCTGTGTATGAAGCTTGTTTGTATCTGGTTCAGCTTTGTTGCATTCAGCTGTATTCTCATTAAATACATCTGTGTTTAAAGAGATGCAACAGCTACCTTTACTTACTGAGCCTTGTTCAAGAAAATATTGTTATGTATAAAGCACAAAATCATGCACACATGAAGGTCGGATTCATAGCTCTTTTAGCAATTGGACCATCAGTACTGATAGATGCTTTAAAAATTGGAGGAAGATACAGAGTTACTTCTGATCAGTATGGATGGTCAAAAAATTCCAGGTTTTCTATCCAGCGATTCCATTATCAAAAGCCCAAGCAAGCAAATACACAAACTTAGTTTGTAGTTTTACCAAGTAAGTCTTTAGGACTTCTTACATTACATAAACATTTTAATCAAACATATTTAATCTCCTCACCCCCTCTCATAAACACCATGTCATGGTTCCAATAAATGAGACCAGTAAAAAGAGAACTCCAAGAGAAGAGGTTTCCTTAAAAAACATATTTATTGGCTACATAGTATCGGCATGATCATAAATGAAACCAAAACTGAAGTTCTCTCCCAAAGGTTACAATATTACAAAGTTGAATTTCCCACCCCAGTAATAGGTCATAAATCACATTCCCCAATAATCTACTTTGGCGGGCTTTCTAACGGAAACTTCAGCCCACCAAACTCAGGCAGCAATGACCTTAGTTCCCAAAGGACAATTTATTGTTTTGTCTAAACTTAAAAGTACACACACACACCTTCCAATTCTGTGGCAACCGAAAGCAAAGTAGAAATGGCTTCAGCCAAATTCATTTGCAGCATTGACACTCCAGTTGGCTAACATAAATGTTAATGGTAAATTAACCACAGTGATTCAATATCAATAATAAAATTAATGAATACTAATTAATACTAAAATTAGCATTAAATATTTTAACATTAATGCTAAAAATATCATCTAGAAGGAATGTTGTTGAACAAGTCCCCAATTCCTGGGGTAGGCTTCCTATATAGAAATATGAAGGAAACACAATGGTATTTGATGAAACAAAGAATGTGGATATTTATGAACTGGATTGTGAGAATTGTACCATAATTATAAAAATGGTTTGTTAGAGGATGTTAGGATTTTATTTTTTTTAAAAAAAGTCAAATTGGTAAGCATGAAAGCCAGAAAGATATGTCACTGTACTCAGGCACTGAAGATTTAAAAAGAATTAGCTGAATATATTAGGTCTCAGTATAATATTTTTTGTATACACGCAAAATACAACAATCATTTAGATAAGATTTTGCCAACAGGCAGTTTTCAGGTAAACTGAGTCATAGAAATGTGGGAGTGAACAGTGGCAATATTTTTGGAATGCTGAAGAGGACATCACAGGTATCATGTAGCTAGAAGTGGGTTAAAAATGATAATAAATGATCTTCATGGTTATTCCATTATCATGAATATATAAAAAATTAAGCACTTGTATGGCATTCCCGTGCTGAACGTACATTGTGAATTGGGCATTGGCACCTGAAATTCTGGACTCGTTTTAGAAAACAGAACACATGGCCACTTCTCAGTTTTTTCTCCTTTGAAATGAAGGCCTATTTTAGCTTTAAAATAATAGCAGATGTTATTCAGCTATCTTGTTAAATTGAATAATACTTTGGTAGGATGTTTGATTGCTTCATTTGACAGTATAGATTCAGAGAATGGTTAATTCTGCAAAAACTGAAGGTTGAATTTGTGTTTATCTTTTAGATGGGGTCAGTTAAAAACTTGATTGTCATTAGAAGTCTGTTGTGCTGTTTCTCGAAGCTGGAGCTTATGTGGCCATATGTCGTATCATTTGGTTGTCTGAGAGAGAATAGTAATTATTGGAGAGATTCTACTCCAGAATGAACTATCTAATAGGGCACTTTCATTTGTTATTTGCTTGATTCATCTTGTATAGTTGGGCACTTACAATATACAGTATATCATTTTTTTCCTCAATTATCTTGGAAATACCTTGCTTTGTAAAATGGGTCATCAGTACTACTTTCATAGTGATATGACAAGAACTAAAATGTTATGATTTTTCTGCATGAGGCATTATACTAAAACCACATAGGAGGAGATTATGTTGGTATTGTGAAAAATCCAAAACCAGGGATAACTCTAAAACAAAGACATTTTGACAACTGAAAGTCATAGCCATATTGGAATTGTGCAGGAGAACTTCTTCTTGAAGGTCAGCAAAAATATGTAAACATTCCATGGCTTTTTCTTACTGGGTTAGTGTTTACTCAACAATTGATTACAACAGATTGTGTAATTTAGAATCTATGATTAAAATCCTTAGCATACAAAGGATAGAAAGAGCCATACAGATCACTTTGCTCTTAGACCATGTTCTCTTAAAGCAAAAGACTAAGAGCAAGGATTCTGAGCATGGGTGCAATATGTAGTTGGTTGGTTACCGCTTAATACAAACAGCTTGACTTAGCCTGAAGCACAATTTCTATCCAGAAGGAATTAAGATTGTCCATCTAATAAAGTAGACACTTGTCATATACAGGATCTTAGAACAGTGATTTACAGGAGATAACACAGCATTTGAAATTGTGTGGTGAGGGGTTTGGAAAACATAAAAATAATAAGTCAAAAATAGGAAGGTGATATATATTCAATGGACCCTTAATTAGAATTTAAGTGATTTTCCCTAAGTGATTTTCCCAGTTTCTGACCAGGGTCTTTTCAGTGGTTTGGCCACAGGGATTAAAACATAGGATAAAAAGTCTTTGTCACTGAGAAATAGCTGTTCACTTTGATTGAACTACTTATTTAAAAAAATGTAATGTCATACCTTTAGATATACACATACAACAAAATGATAAAACACATGAAAAGATGCTAATCCCGTAAAGTCATTTTCTTCTTAACACAGTAGTTCCTTTGGAAATATATGTGCCAGAATTTTGAGGAAAGCAACAAAGACTGCATTTGTGTATTTTGTTCTGTGGAGCTGAAAATATCTAGTAAATTGATCCTGTGGGAGTAATAAATACACATTACTTTATCTTGTATTTCATGTCGTATACCCCTGAGCCTTGATAGAACAACACCACTTAATAGACTTTAAAAAAGAGTAATTACAGTCATTGGTTGTGTGATTTTTCAGCCCTTCCAGCCCTGCCTGACCTTCTAATTTAGCTTACCGTGTCTAACTAATGCATTTATATTCATCTTTTATGAAGCATGTGTAGTACAAAATTGACTTTGCAGCTTGTAGCAAGCTGTCTTACTAGTCGAATATCTGGTTAGTCCTACAGTATATTCTGAACTGGGCATTTGTACAGAAGAGTGAGCTATAGGCTTTGTTTGGGTTTGGGGTTTCTTTTTCTTTTTTGGAAATTCTTAAGTAATGTGTTATATATAATGTAAATTTTACTTTTCTACCTACCTTCTGAAAAGTGTTGTATATACCAAGATTATTTACAGCCAAGAGTAAATGCAAAAAGATGCAAGTGTTTCTAAAATGGTTATCTCAAACATTTTTTTTATTTCTTAGAAATAGGTCAATGTCCAGATATTTCTTGTTCTCTTTTAAGAAGCACGGTTAGATAAGGCTACCATGTGCTGATTTGTATGCAAGACTGACAGCTTAGGAGGTGAATGATGCTGCAAAATGTTCAATATCTATTTAGTCCAATTTGTACATGCACATTAAGAAGTAGCTTAAGAAAAGGCTGGAGGAATTCCCTTCTGGAAGAGCCACCCCTGAGCTAGCCAGCACACAGACCATGCTCTCTGCTGTGGACCTCATAACTTTCTGCCCGATTTACGTATCCACTGGAGCACAATTGTTTTCTGTGCATTTCTTTTCCACCATATGGTTTCCTCATTACTATACACTAAGGGTCCATATGGGGAACTTGTGAAGTGAACTGTACTCATTTTAACTGCCAGATGAGCAGCAAACTTAGCTTAAGTCATCTGCTGCTGCATTTATGTTGTTATGGCAACAGAGCAACAATAAAAACTTCTAATGTACTGTAAGTGTTTCGGATCATAGTTTTTTAAATGCTTGCCGTAACTGTCCTCTAAAGTGAGAGTGCTTGAGCCTCTGGTATGACAAAGGGTTATTGCCAGTTCCAGCAGGTGGCAGTAAAGAAATCATCCTCCCCCCCCCCCTTGCAGAAGTAACATAATTAGAAAGCAGCGTTCTTTTACAAATGTGTTGATGTCTTTGCTGAATTTTTGGGGAGGGCTGGCCAAGGTGTTGAAAAAGACTTTCTTGGATTCCTGTCAGTTGTTTAAGCAACACATTTGGATGCTTCTCTGTGCGTGCGTGTTTCCTTATTTTGAATGATTCCTTCGCTTCAAGCACTGCACTAATTAAGAGCACCTTAAAGCAATGGAAGTAGACAGCAACATCTTTAAATATAAATCATTTCCACCTCCACAGGCCAGGTGATATGTTGCATATCTCTGACTCCCTGTCTACATTGCCAGTGAATGTTTGCAGTTTCCCTTCATCAGTTCACATTAGCCTCATGCTGAATATTTAAAGACCGAACAATTTAAGCAACCCAAGAAGAGACACACTTTCTGTTGGAACTGCAAAGGCTCCCCTGATCATAATTTAGTAAGTCAGGCATTTACTAGTTTACTTGTGCCCAGAGCTACTCAGCACAACTATGTGCCAGCAAACATTGAAATCTGGTCTCCAGTCACAGGGCAGCCCTGTTTCCAATTGGAGAAATGAAACAGAAAATTTCCCTCCTAGCAAAGTATTCAGGCTTAGTCATTTATCCTAAAGGAAACCAAGTGGCACATAAAAAGCAGGAGTCACCGTGTGCTATACAGTGTATTCTAATTACAGTAATACCATT